AATTTCCTCTTGTCCTCTCAATTAAGAACCTAATTTAAAGACTAATTTAGATTTTAATTCTCTCTAAATTATATTAATCATTCCCACCATTTCAAATTTTCAAATCAAGATTTTTCTCTTAGTTAATTTTTTTTCTCCGTTTCTAACTTTTATATTATTCCTCTGTTCCATGTCTTTTTTTTTTTTTTTTTTTTCTTAAAACTTTCTAAAGTTTTTTTTTTCAGTTATGTTCTTCCATTCTTCAAATAAGTCCTCACCATTTTTAGATTCTTCAATTGAATTCTTTACAACTTCTGATTGGCCCTCCGTTCTTGTATTTCGTTCAATTAGGTCCCTGGAATCTGAATTCCTCCTATTTTATTTTCTAAATTTTCTTCTTCTTTTTTTTCTTTTTTGTACAATCTAGTCTCAAAGTTTGGGGTGTTACACATCGCCTATTTCTGACTAAATTTTCTTCTTCTTTTTTTTCTTTTTTGTACAATCTAGTCTCAAAGTTTGGGGTGTTACACATCGCCTATTTCTGACATGAAGCATTGAAAAAAGAAATACGTGTCAGAAACTTATTTCTTCGAGTTAGGTTGAATTTTTTTCCAATGCATTCTATCACAAATTTTGTCAGAAATAAATTGTTGGAGCGACAAAATGGCCAACGTCCTGCATTCAAAAATAACTAACACAATATTTCTCATTTTAGCAATGCAAGGTTGCTTCGGTAATTATCTTTTTTATTTATTTTTTATTTTACCATTGTAATGCACTTTGTAATTATCTTTTCAATTTGTTTATTTTATTTTACCGATGAACCTTGCATGGGTAATTATCTTTATTTATTTATTTTTTATTTTACCAATATTATTGAAAAATTTGAAAAAAAAAGAAAAAAAAGAGGCAACAAATTTGGACATTACGAACACTATCTTGCAAAGGTAAATAAAAATAATTAAACAAAATAAATTAAAAACAAAAACACAAATAAAAATAGACATTACTGACAAAGGTGTGCATCAATCAATAAAAATTAAAATATTTTATTTATATTTTTAATTATTTGTAAAAGCTTAATTTTTATTTTATTTTTATTCTTTATATTTTTTATTGTTTTATTCTTTTGTTTCTAATTGTACTTTCTTTGTTTTTAATTGTTTTTAAATATATGTTTTATTTTGTTCAAAAAACATAAATACAAACATAACAATAAAATACAAGAATTACATATTAAAATTTAATCCTAAGAATATTCAGATATCCAAATAAAATGTCACTAGAAAAAAAAAAATATATCACTCCTAACCACTACCTTCACTTGACTCAAATGATGAATGTGAGTTACGTGAGGGAATAGCGAGAGGTGACTAACTAGATGGGGTGTTCTTCAATGTTTCTATCATTTCATACAACTCTAAGCACAATGGCCTCCACACTACTAATTTTTTACTACAATTCTATGTTTTTGCTCTCCACAACCCCCATTTTTTTGACAAAACTCCTTATGTTTTTGAAAAAGCGTATAAATTTCTAATATCTTGGAGGAGTAGTTGTAGGATAGTGCATTGATTGATAAGAACCTTGTTTCCCTAAAACATACATATGGCCATTGGTTGAGAAGAACCTTGTTTCCCTAAAACATATATATGGCCATAGGCTCTTCTACCAGCACACTTTGTTTAAAGCTTGGTATGTACCATCTTTTGAGACTTCAAAATTGAGGCCTTGTTAAGTGCAGGTTAAAAAGATTGGACAGTCTGGAATTCGGTCTACACATGCAAATAATTCATAAAATAAGTTAAACAAGCAAAAATCTTAATTAAAAAGTTAATAAAATAAATATTGATTAAAATAAACAAAAGACAGCTTACAGAAGTCATCTCAGATTGATGGTTCACTAGGTCTTCTCTTTCCTCTTGATGTGCAACGTAATAATCTTAATTAATTTTTTTAATTTTTAATGTTACTGACGCATCCATGTAGTGATAATATTCTTAATTAATATTTTTTGTTTTTTAATATTACCGAAACATAGTTCCGTCGGTAGTATCAGATGGTCTTAAAATTTTTTATTTTCAATTACTTCCAGTGCAAAAATTTGCCAAAATCTTTTTTATTTTGCATCAGAAAAAGTGTTGAAAATTGTGACGGAAAACCCTTCTTGCCATGATTTGCTACATTTTTCTGTGGTTAACCTGTATAGTAATCTTACGACAGAAAATCCTCCAAAATTATGTTAGTATATAAAGTGACAATTTTATGTGTCAGTAATTTTGCGTTAAATTTTACCAATTTTCTTGTAGTGTCTTTCTGCCATTACTTAGATAATTTAAATGTATATATTATGCAGTAAAAGTCTATCCGCAAACTTTGATTATCAAGTATATTTTAATTATCTTAATAATAAAAAAAATCTCCTAATTCTTAAATTCTTTGTTCGCACATTTATTAACAATATTATAAAGTGGCGATTGGTTCAATAGGTTTTTTTTTTTTTTTTTAAAAAGTAACCAGTATTTTTTTTTATAAGAAATATAGGCAAATTGAGACTCTTAACTAGTACATTTTTTACCCGAGGCAAAAAGGTGAAATTTGTCTGATTCAATGATTTTAAATCTTATAAATCTTACGAAATAACATCAAGTACTATCGAATATTTTCAATCCCTAAATGTGCCTAACTATTTAATAAATTCACATCGATTCTAATTATGGAAATATTGTTAATTTAAACTCTTTAAATTAAACATCTCAAAACTCCTTTTACATTGTTCTTTATTAAATACTTTCTCTCTATAAATTATGAGTGACATCTAGTCGCATGTTATGATCATTACGGTAATATGAAGAGAGAATAACTATTTTCATAATAGTTATTGTTCAATGGAATCTATATATCAAACATCATTGGGTATTTCTATCATAGTTATTAGGGTATAAGTTTCTATGTCCAAATTCCGTATCCAACAATTATGTACCAATCACAACATTTATGACTCAATACATGATTTTGAAACCCTTTTCAGATCCATGACATTGTGACCATAGACTTTTGGGGTGATAATCCTTGCTGACCACATAGCCCATCCCTCTCTGAACATAAATGATAAATCCTTTATTAAGTGTTCGCGAACTTTTTATCCAGGCGTTTTACTTATTTGAACTTATGGTACACTACTCCTATAGTACCGAAAAAATGTTGTGTTTGGATTTCTGAAGTCATCAAAATATGTTTTTGGAAGTCCTATGATGTTATATTCGAAAATTTGTGAAAACTGTTTGGGCATCCTATGATTTTAATGCGGGTTATGGGCATTCTTGCTACCTTGAAGCCTTGAAATCTTGTTGATTTTATGTTAGTTGTTTGTTTAACCTCGAGGTTAACAAACTAGTTCGGCTTAGTGGATCACAAGAGCACCTTGCTTCCTATTGAGTTTGGTGGATTGTGCTTGTGTCCTTGGCTCTATTATAATAAGCTAAAATGGGTGTGTTCCACGGCTATAAAATATGTAGGCCTGCTAATATATTAGATTTTAATCTAAATCTAACTTAAATTCGATTCGAAATTAGTATTCGAATTTGATTAAAATATTTGATAAATCAGATCCAGTTACATATATTTTTAATTCGAAATAATTGAATTTAATATGAACTTAGACAATTTGATCCGTTAAAGACTCAAATCCAAATTTCAGTAATATTTTTTATTAAATTAATAGTATTATATGTAATATTAATTTATAATATTAACAAATTCAAAATTATATGGATTAAATTCAAAAAATCAAAAATTCAGGGATAAACATAATTAATAGAGTATAGTTGAGAGACTTAAGTATAAAAACGTATTATTATTTTGTTAGATTAGATTTTTTTATCAAATTTCTGATCATCTATTAGATTTAGATATTATTTAATAAATATAAATACTATAAGATTTTGGATCAGATTCGACTATGAAAACGGTTAATCAGATTCGAATGTAGATGATTTAATCTAAATTTAACTTGTTTACTAGCCTAAAAACGTAGCACGTAATCAATATTAACTACAGAAATCCGCTGCCTATTGAGGCTTGGTAAGATAAAGGGTCGTACCATGGTGCACGTGAATTAAAAACATGAATTCTCGTAGTATGCACAAAAATAGAATGCTATAAGTTCCAATCTTTGAAGCCTGAAAGTGCAATAAAATTTGAAAAGGGAAGGTTAGGGCTGAGAAGATTGAGGGGTAGAGTGAGCAGCCCACTTGCAATAGTGTTCATTTTCTTTACTTATAGACCTTTGAGGCTGTGTAACGTGTCGATGTATTTAAACTTCAAAAGTTTGAAGAAAAAATATTTTTAAAAAAATTGAATTAGAATATAAAATTGTGTTAATTTTTGATAGTTTTGAATTATCCTCAAATATGGTAGCAAATACAATTATTTGTGAAAATTAATATTTTTATTTGATTAATATATAATAAATAAAAAGCAAAAATCCTCATTTTCATTTAACCAGAAATCACATCCAAGCGCGCGCGCGCACGCGCACGTATATATATAAGTTGAATTGGATTGTTTGGGTTCGGATTTGAATAATGTTGGCACTAGTTGACTACGATTTCGAAGTCAAAACATGTATCCCCGCGGATTAGTGTTTTGGGCCTCGGCCCGCCATGTAACCTCCTCCCCCGGGCCCCCGCGCGCGCCTCCCCCCCCCCCCCCCCCCCCCCCAACAAGCAAAAAAGGTCAAGACATGTATCCGTAGGACATATAAATTTCTATATCAAAATAAAAAGACGATTTGCTGTGAAATAACTTTTTATTCGGCCTCAGGGTGCAAACGTATTATCGTCCATTTAATGGACAATAAAGTATACTAGTAGATAGCAGATTTTTATTTGTCTCCAAAATTCCTGGCAGCCAAACATATGCATGCCCGGAAATTCTTATTCCAGATATTGAACTAGCTCTATCTTTTCATATCTTTTATTCTCTTCACGCTTCAAAATCGTGGTAGATTTTGAGCTTCCTCAATTGAAAGTAAGCTGGTATTTAGGCTGTTTGTCTGGACTGAAAAGGCCAAAATGTTTCTCGGTCTCAGCCCCTGATTTCTGGTTCTCATCAAACATGGCAAAGAGGTAAGTTTCAATAGCCTTCCCAGGCTTCTTTGGGGTCCCTGTCGTTCCCTTAACATGTTTTATCAAATTGCTGTAGTAAGTTTGTGCATTAGCCACGCTTGCGTCTGCACCTCCGGCTGAAGGCCATCCACTCTCCGACACAACAATTTCCATATTAGATCCACCCTCACTCTCAACAGCAGAGTAGAAAGCATCCAACATGGCATCAAACAGATTTGTGTATGCACCATTAGGTTGGCCTGTGAACAAGGCATAATCAAGGGGGACACTGCTCGGGTTATCACTGCGGGCGAAGTACGGGTAGATATTGGCTAGCAACGGAGCATTGTTTTGGACAAGAAAGCTGATGATTGGCTGTATGAAGGACTTGACGTTATCCTTAAAAGCACCATTCGCAGGAGGGTACGAGACGCCTATAAGTCCCATGTATGCGGCAGTTGAAACCTTAATTTGGCCTTGCAAGTTGGCGGCTCCAAGCGCTTTGTAAACATTTTGCATGGCTGGGAGAACATAATTAACATATTGGGCAGTATCGGTGTTGGGATCGACCTCGTTCCCCACTGAAATGTAGCGAAATTTGACGTCCGAGGAATAGGCTACCACGTTGTTTTGGACCCATTGCACTGCCGCCGAGTAGTCTGCTGACAGGGACTGAAGGTTAGCATTCGGAACGTCAAGTATAAGCTCTATGTTGGATCCTTTAAGGGCGTTCAAAGTTGCCCCATCTGGCGCATATATTCTCATCCTTCCGATGCCATTGGATTTGTAGAGTTGGACAACGTCTTGTGCCGATGGCAAATTGTTGCCGTTTTGTCCGTAGCAGACGCCTACGGATTGCGCATCTGCAGTTCATTCAACCAAATATGTATAAGGTAGATTTTTGATTTTTTTTTTTTTAACTTCGACAAAATCCAAGCTTTTAGTTTACAAATTACAGATCTCCCGCCTATTGATCCGGATCCAAATAAGCTTCACGTGTTCTTGCTTTTTCACTTTTGTTTTCTTTCTAACATTGAGTGTGTAGTTGTCTTGAGCTGCCAACTTGTGGGGTACACAAGAACTCAATTATACCTGAGTTTGACGTGTTTAATTTGGAAGAATCTCAACCACACATTTTGTGAGCCACCTTTAAACTGAAGTTGACTTGTTTGTCTAAACAAATTCCTCCAATTTAAGCTTGACATCTTTGAAACATTCTATCTTAAATATTTTAAGTAAAATAAAATATTAAACGAAAAAATGGTAAGAATAGCCATAAGTTGGTTCCAACACCATGGGACACACCTTAGTGTGTAAAGTATTTCACTACTACAATATGATTGTTTTTAATTCAAATATGTCGCTCCAAATTATAAAGTAAAAAAATAAATATAATACAATCATGGTATATATATACTTAATAAAACATTAAAAATAAGCAAAACAATAAGGTAATATATAGTTCAAATGTGGAAAAATGTTTTTATAAAATTACTAGCCTAAAATCCTTTATGTATATCTTGTATATACATGTGTGTGTGTGAGAGAGAGAGAGACAGAGAGATTAGGGAACCTGTTAAGTAAATGCAAGGCGACGATAACACGAGTAGCAATGACAGAAGCAAAGCGCTGGGAGAAATAGCAATGGAGATGGCCATTTTGGATGAGAAATTAAAGCTATAACACTTGAATTTTTATGTTTGATGCAAATGGCTGATACTTGAATGGCCTTTATATAGAGGTAATCACACCAAGAAAGTCAGCATTCAGAACGTCCCTAACTCGTAGTCTGTTAAATTTTCCACCAGAATTTTCCAGCCCCTATTTAAATATCTAGGTCCACTTTGATAAGCATAAACCAAAGCCATCACGACTTGCCCACTAGTCGAACTTGGTGTCCTTAGATGCATGATTTGACGAGGAAAATTGAATACAAATAAAAATAACACGAGATGGAATTATTTTGATTACATTTAATAATATTTATTTGTTTTTGTTTATGATTGAGAGGGATAAAGACTTAAAAGGTTTAATTTTTATAAACTTAAATACATTTATAAATTAATAATTTGTATTTTCTAAAATTTTTGTAGTTATGTTTAATTTTCAGATCCAAAATGCAGCTTTCTTTTTTCTTTTCAGTATTTGTTTATCCGAAGTTAAAACCGCTATTGCAATAACTTTGGAAAAAGAAGCACTAAATTGTAAAACCCAGAAAGGGTGTTTTATGCTGAGATTTTGCAAATTTCTATCTTCAAATATTTTAAAGTAGAGAATCGTTTTCAAAGCTCAAAATCAGAGTAAAAATTTTGACAGAAAAAATAATAAATATAAATTTGTAACGACTTGAAAGTTACCGATATTCGTAACTTGTTGAATTTAAACCATTAGTTCAAATACTTAAGCATTATTATTCATTAATAGCCTTTTATATCTTATATACTATATTATATCATTATCAGAAATCAATATAAGATAAGATATCACAATTTTCGCTACTTAAACACTTGATATTTTTGTCAAGTCATAAACCTATATTCATATTTAAATAGAACATGTCTATATCATTTTATTTTAATATTATTTGTAATAATTTGAGTTTTATTAACTGTAGTAACTTATTGAGTTTAAACTATTAATTCAAAATGCCTAATTTTAGGTTATTCAATAGTACTATCTATTATTTTATATATTATATTATATCACTTATAGTAATCAGATTTTTGATGGCATATCACATAATTAAGTCAATAGTGGTAGTTTAATGAGTTAATTTCAAGAGTTTAAAAGTGAGAGGGTGTGCATGCAAATGATGCACCATTGAGAGGGTGCGATTTTTCCGCCGTATTATATTTAATAATTTTTTCTTTATACTCTTTGCATCGTCATTCTTTCCATGACATTTTAAATATTATTTTGATGGTCAAATTTTTTCACCTTAATGTAACTTTTTGACATGTCACAGTCTGGATTTCCCCTCTCTGTGTAATTACCATTGCCTAAGTTATAATAGTCTTGTAAGATATATATATATATATATATGTATGTATGTATGTATTAAAAAATTATCCCTTCATTACCTATTTTTTTTTCTTTCTCTAACACATTTTTAGCAGAAATAGGCGGAAAAAAGTGAAAAAATGAAAATTTTTGTTTCCTCTTTTTGAAAATTACAAAAATTGCTTGAGCAGAAAACATTTTTATTAAATGTGTTTATATTTTAATTTCTCATCAGAATTTATGAAATCCGGAAAAAAAAGGAGAAGATAAATGTTTACTAATGCGCTTGAAGAAAATTAAAAGGTTACCATATGATCCCGAAATTGTAATTGGTTTACAATTTAAATTATAAATATAATTTTGATAAATATAAATAAAGCCTTCATGTTTTCTTTTTCTATCAATTACTGTGGATGCATTTTACAAAACACTTTTTTCATTTTCTTTATCCGACAATGAAAATAGAGATTGCGTTTGACAAAGCATATTTGTTGTCAAAAGACATGAAAACAAAAACCAAAATAAATGTTACTAAGTAGTTAAGATTTCATTATATTTAAAATCTTTGTTCACCTATTATATTTTAATTAAATAAATTAAATTTGTGCTTTGCAAATGAAATTACTCTTTTGTGTATTGTTTCTTTTCTTTTTCTGAAAACAATTGATATTTCATTTGAGATGATTAAGGAATCAAATAGAAAATTAAGGATTATATAAATATATTTTCATTTTTATTTTTTAAATATTTAAAATATTTTTAAAATTATTTTTTGTAGTTGTAGAAACTAATGTGACATGATGTCATAATTTTTGTGCCACAACTAAGTTAAAGTAAAATGGTTTACCTAATAATCATCATTTTTATTGCCAAATTGATCTGGAAAGAATGAAATTTGGTTCTCTTATTTTTGAAGCCATTGAACATATTAGATCATGCATGTTATAATTTCCTATTTCCAAAAAGAAGAAAAATATATCCCAAATGAAATGCAGATTTTGTTTTTAATAATAATCTGTTTCATTTTCTTTGTAACATTGTTTCCAAAAACTGCTTTATGTTTTTGAGTGTATAAAAATGAAATACATAAAAAAACTATCTTTAACAAATCATTCTCGAAAGCTATTTTTTATATAGCTATTAAATATCTAGAATTTATTATTATCTATTCCCCTTCCTAAAAGTCCCAGAAGAGCAAGACGGCTTAATCACGGTAAACAAAAACAAAATTATTCAATGCCCAGCTCGGCATGATTGATGGCGTATATGCGCGAAGTTTGGTTGTTTGCGTCCATTGTTTCTCTGCCAAATTGGAAGCTTCTTCGCCAAATAACAACCAAGTCCTATTCCGGCATATGCATCTCATTGGTCAAGAGGGTAACAAAGACTTCCACAACAAGCTGGGCGGTTCGTTAATTTGAACTCCCGCCTTTGATAAAGACAGGGACCAAACTTTACCAGTCAGTCGTCCAGTATTTAGAACTCATTGAAAATTCTGCAGAAGCATCCAATTGGCAGTGGTAAACTATATGAGGTCTCATATCAAATCAATACAATCTAAAATCATTAAGGACAAATGAATCCTGTTTATGGTTTTAATAGCAAATATAATACTGAAATAAAGAAAAATAGAATATTAAATTGACTCAAAGTGACGTTGCCCAATCTAAAGAAATGTCTCCTAATCAAATCATCGAACCAACTAAAGATCTATACTAGAATTTGAAAATATTTAATAGAACGATGAATTTTCACGACTCACTGAGATGTAATACCTATTCTAAATATGTTGCGATAAGTAGTATATTAAAATACTTTTGAGAAAAATATAATTTATATTTAAGCAATAATACTTTCAATAATATGTATGCATAAAATCAATAAATACAAATCTTTGTTCAAAATTTGAGTTCATGAATACATTAAATACTTTTATCCCATAAATAATTTTATCAATTAATAGTATGAGATTTTTTTCAACCGAGTCCATGTCCAAAATCACAATCCATCCCAAGGGTAATATCTTATCATGACTCACAAAGGGTATACATATCTATCTCATGTGTGGGCAATACGACGAGCTAGTATTATTACCCCCTGCTAATTAGCATGCAATCAAAGATGTACCAAGCCTAGCATTCCCCATGCTAGGAAGGTTTGCCTAGATTTATTCCTGCTAGGAAGGGATTGTAACATAAAATATTCTACCACATTCTTCATATTTGAATTAAGTTTCAAACACATTAACAATTTCCTTTCGGAAATGTGTTTGTAAATTTTTTGTCACCAAGTGTTCAAACACTTTTCTTTTTCATCATCTCAATAGTAAGTGTTCAAATAATATTTCCAACATAAAATATAGATGTTTCAATACTTGTCCCAGTTTTTTTTATTTAATCCTTGAACAAATCATTCATTAATTTTATAACAATATTTTTATTCGAACATGAAGAAGATGTGAATTTCATAAACATAACATTTCATATAGAGTCAAATATAAATATTCTTATGTAGAAGTACAAATGAAAACATATGTAAATAATAAGTATCATCATTACAGTGTTCTTAGTAGAGAGTCAATGTGAGCTAAATCTCTGATGTGATATAACTTCCAAACTAATGAATAAAATCAAGAAGGGGTATAAATTTCCAAATATCTTTCCAAAAAGTGAATAAGTTGACTATTAATCTTAACCACTATATTCCTTAATCCTTGAATTAATTCATCTTATTAGTTTCATTAATTTAACATGTCTCATCATTATCTAAGTATGACAATGAACTACATGCTTAATGAGGATTAGAAAATTTTCGCATTTACTCAAGAATAGTACCTTAGATTTGAGCCTTTCACATGGAACGAAGTGAAAGCTCGACCTGGTAATACAAACAAATAAATTCTCAATTTAAATCTAATGACACTAACAAATAGTTCTCAATTTAAAAGAATCAATCAATCAGATTATTGTTTATAGAGAGATGAGATTTGGACTTATAAGCTACTTATTTCCTATATTGAACTTAATTTAATATAATTGAGAAAACACACATGTGGACAACAAATACATTACTATCCATCCACGAGTTGGATGGACGATCAGATGTGCCTTGAATTGGGAAAGATCCATTGTTACCACAATCCATACAATAAACTTTTCCTCTCTTGGTTAATCTCATTCACTTAAGATAATCTGCTAATAATATA